ATGTATAAGGTGAATTCTTACTTCATGGCCTCTTCTTGCATTCCCTTTTGATCTCAAGCATGTGAAGGCGATATTTGCTATCAGCATTAGGCGCATTAATTCCCTCCCACCCCCCAATTAGTACTCCGTGAACTTAAAAGGTATGCATCTGAGTGAGAATTCTGTCATCCAATACCTGCACTCTGTTTGCAATGTACGGGCTATCTTGTTATAGTAATCAAACAATTAACAGTTCGATATCAACCTCCTCTCCTCTTTTCCTACTCAAGCTCTATCGAGCAAATTGTATTAGCATCCTGGTATTAAAAGGCCATAATAAGAATGAAGCAGAAGAAACTGGCTTACTGGTATATGACAGTTTTCCGGGGTTGGGGTTTCGTCTATGAAGTTATTCAATAACTTCAGGTGATATACTATCATCCGCCATAATTAACAGCCTAAATCGTAAACTATACTTGCAATTTGGAACAAAGGCCCCTCATTGCTGAAATTTATTTGTAATCCATCTGCTTTATTCAGGAAACTGTTTCTGTTTTTGCTTTTAAAAAGGTCAAGCACACCAGTAAGAAAACTGCAATGGATGCAGAACTTTTAACATCTTGTCATCCCAGCAAAGCAGAGAATATTTGTTTACATGGCTTTGACGTTTCAAACAGGAAGTTTCTAAAGCCTTGTTAATGTACAATTCCAACGCTCGACCCAGGAAATTCTTTTTTCATAGGCATTGATATAGTCTAAAAACTGCTCATTTTCTACTACTGTTCCATCAGACCTGTTCCTTTACAGTCTGTGACATGCAATTCTGCTGATTTATATGGGCTTTAGCTTAAGAAAACTATTTAACCGGACACACGTTCCCCAAGGTGAAGGATTGCACCTACATATACAATGTGAAAATAATGGGTTAAAAATAGAGAAATGTGCTCTAAGCTATAGGGATATCCCATCACACAGTGGACACACTTTCAGTGTTTTCTCAGCGTTTTTACACTTTCACAAGCTCAGATCACCCACTCAACCTTCCTTCAGAAGTGGTACATTATGTTTGACACTACCTTCTTATTATCAGAAAATTAATCCCATCAAGATTAATTGCCTTGTTCTTCTTCCGTATTCCTGCCAGTCCTACTTGTACCGGGATCATCTTTTATGACAGGTGCACACTGACACCTACTGTTCGAAGCAGAGACCAGTCTGGAGGGATTCACACATGCCACTCAATTTAGCTCTGCGAATTTAGGTGGTTGTCTCTCTGCAGGCTCCTCTATTGGCAATGGAAATGTTCCTTTGGGGGCCATTCACAGCCTCCAAATTAAGCTCCTGATCTGATCTGAAACAGATTGCATTCCTCCACTGATAAAGAGTGCTTAGTGAGACAAGCCTACTAATTAATGGTATGAAACGGAGGTTCCAAATTTCCCACAGCTCTCCCGAATGAGAGGTGTCCCTTAACCAAAGATCTGCGCTGTAGCCAGGCAGTGAGAACAGGGGCACCTAAGAGCCTTGCTTCTCTTTCCAGCCAGTGCTGATATAACAAAGCACAAAAACACGCAACACACAACCTATTGATAATCTTTAAAAGGGCCCAACATCCTATGAACCTTAGGAGCTCTTATTTCATGTTCCACCAACAAGAAAGTACTCAACGGGAAGGCAGCCAAGCACCTTTCTAAGCAGGCAGTAAGCCTTTGACTAGATTTTTCAATCTCTCCAAAAAACTGACATGAGAACAAATACAATAAAACCTCTTACTCAGTATACTAAAGGCTAAGCATGCTTGACTTGTGATATATAGAGGAGTCATCTCATGTAACAACTGTTAAATGGGGAAACAGAGTCAGTTGTGTTAAATACCGCCAACAAGATATTAGGACTTACAGAGAAAAGAAGTACTAAAACAAGTGCAACTGTCCAATACAGGCCTTGCCCTGCACTCAGGGGTATCCCATATTCCACGCAGCTTTTGGCACTGCTTGCGATGACGGCTCTCATCTCAATGCCAGTTTAATGACCTGCATATTCACAAGGAGGCTCCATATTACAAAGCCGTTGCTTTTCTTCCACTTTAGCATCACTCTGGTTTATCTCAGGATGTACTCATTAGGAAACTCCTCTGAAACTGTCTACATGACTACTGTCAAATCTAAAGCAGGTACTCCACCACAAAGCATGACTGTAGATTCCCTGTCTTCTAAAAACTCATTGCACATGCTGAGCGAAAGCACGCTTACAGGGAATTGACTTTGCCAGATGCTGCTTAATTACTTGAAACTGGATTACTCACTACAGCTGGCATTCACATTCTTAATTATATAATTAAGATATCTGCAGGATTGCTCCTTATATAACAATTTCAGCTCTCTTCTCCTAATGCCTTTCTCTACTAAAGGTTTTGGAACATAAACGCCCTTCAGGCATGGTTCTCTAGAACAATCAAACATCCAGTAAGGTTTTTCCTCTTCTTTTAACAGTGCAGAAATCTCCTTGCCTGGTACTGAGCACAGCTGAGTAAATAAATTGTCTTCCAAGGAGTGGGAAAGGTTAGCCCTGGTCAGCAGCAGGTGACAGGATTCAAACCAAGCAAATATCAGAGAAAACCTTTTCACTAACTGATCAAGTCCATCTCATCCTCACAGCTCCTAACAACAGAAGGCTCTAGTTTCAAACTTTCTCATGTTCTGCCTAAATTTATTCATAGCCTGTTGATATCCACTTTTTCCTCACACTATATATTGTTATTTAACATAAACAATCTTTTCCCTCTGTCTCAATACCTAGGGTGAATGTGTGCATCCTGCTCCATTTTTTATGCTAAATAAAGACTTCTAACTGCTTTTCTCCCTCTTGTAAGAGGTCTGCCTACTTCTCTAATCATCTTTGCAAACTTGCTCAGTACCCAGTGCCATCTGAACATGAGTTACTGAAACTGTACAAGGCATCATCTGAGCCTTGTACAAGAGCATCCATGCTTCTTCTCCTATGTCTACTGAAAATAATTGGCTTTATACATCCTCTCTCACATAATTACTTCACCTGGTATATTTTCATTCCCTAGCCTCATTTCCATCCTCTTATGAAGAATTTTGTCCATGTCCTTCTCTTCCTCAGCATCTCCAGAAGGTGAACTCCTCTTTCATGTCAGGGATTTTCATTATTTTTCCTGAGATGTAGGACTTTGTTGTCTGTGTTATTCTATCTTATCCTATTTCTTACTGTACTGCACAGTCATATAGTTTCTCCCAGAGGACATCCCCATTCACTTAGCATATGTAGGGCCTTCTAAATTCATGCAACAAGCCAAATTCATGAGCATAGTTCTGCTTCTTATGCCAACTGTCTTTAAAGAGAGGAGGAGGAAAAAAAAGGAAAAGAAAAAAGGCCATAACCCTTAAGGAGCTTCACCAGCAATCTCCTTCCTCTCCTATCAGCAACACCTACGGATCTCACCCCTTCCTTATCCATCTTTAAGCTCTTGCACTAATCCCCATTTTCACCACTGGAACTCCAAATTTATAGATGGCACCATACGAAACATTTTGCTGAAATCAGACAGATCAGGTATACTCCTGCTCTTCTTCTTTCTGGAAAATCTTATTAAAAAAATATTTGGTTGTACTGGTACCATCTCTCCTGATAAACTTACTGTGCATTTTCCATTTACTCTCATGTCTGTAATTGGAGCTTACTTCCTTACAGAGCAACAGTGGTGATTATTTCTATACTTGGTTATACCTTCCTCAATTTCTTAAACAAACAAACCAACCAACCAACCAACCAACCTGAAACCGCAACCCTAAATCAGCTAAATCAGTGCAATTTTAAAAAAATAGTATACTGGTGGGTTTCTAACAGTTCTGATTTAAAGTTAACGCTTCAAGCATTTGCCTTACTACTAAAAATAAAATCAAGGGAAACATCATCATCATCATCGCTAGCTGCCATGGTACGCTACTAAAGAATCAAGTCTCTGGTTTGTTCCTGGCAAAGCTGGTCAATGGACAGATACAATGCTCCTTCAGACTGGCAAAAGCCAAGCATTATGCAGTGTTTGGAAGTTAAACAGCTCTTGTTTCCCTCTAATTAACATATTACATAATTGTCTACATGAAACTACCGTATAAATGCAGCAGTAACCTAGCTCTCTGTACATACACATTCATGATTCACTCACGATATTACTTGAATAGTATTCAGACTATATTAGCATGGCTGGCAGCAATATAAATAATAAATAGGTTTGGTCATTAGACAGTGAAAATGGACATTCAAAGGGGCCCCCCTTTCCTTTTCCATGGTATGAAAGGTGACTTCTACATATGCCATGTACTGCTCTGGGTCAACAGTAAAAATGTTCAAAGTTGCACAGAAAAAATGTGCCACACACTCATGTTCTTAGTTGTTGAAGCATCATCAATTGCCCAGCCAGCACTAGCTCTCCTGCCAAATTAACTTCACTTGGCAACCAACCTCAGAAGTACACCCTTCTGATGCGTGATAAATAGCAGCAAGACTTGCAAGCTGTTAGTTTTATTTGCAAGCAATTGTGTCTCAGCAATGTTATAAAAGAAACAAGTTAGGCATAAAGCCTTATGTTGCAAGGTGTGCTGCTCCTTCTCTGCTTGTATTAGCCATTTCTTCACTTCCCAAATATGTGTTTATTCTCATCTGTTCCCTTCTTATTTGCAAGATTCCCACAGAAGGCCATCCTTTCATTCCAACGGATGCATTCATCCTCCTTCCTTGTCCTATTATGGCCACACCTCTAGTTAAAGCTTCCAAATGTGTTGCCTCCCTCTCAGAAACTTCCTGGTTTTGACACCACTTTCCCCAGCTCCGCACCTCGCTCCCCAACTCCAAGCCAATCCTGATGAGGCCAGCTGAGCGGATCCCCTCCTAGATCATTTTTCCAGTTCAACACAGATCTGGATTTATTTGTGCTCTAGGGATGTATCAGGCCTCAGCACAGTTCCACATCAGGAAAGCTTCCATATCTTTATGTTTAGTGCAGCCCTATGGAAAAATTAAAGCCTAGAAAGTCAATTCTGTTCTTTTGCACTCCGCAAAGTGACCCATTACTGTAAGGATTAGCATTCATTCTCTTTAAAGGACGAGCTTCTATTTTTAATGATCATTATACTAACATCTGCAAGAAATCTTTCTTTTTCGAATAACAAAAGTAAAATACTGCATTAGTGTAAAATAAACCAATGCCAAGGCAATGAGATATATGCATGATGTAGAATAAACAAGATTATTAATGGCACTTGAGACATGCTGATCTTCTGTTGATGCACTGAAAAAGTTTATTAGCAGCACACCAGTGAAATCTGAGGACATTTCAAACGCCAGTCTGGGTACAGACAGAACAGCTAGGAGATTTAGCATGGAACGTGGAAAAAAGGAAACCACAAAAGGGGAAAATGATCATATAGAAACATACATAAAATGGAAAGCAGAAAGCAATCAACCAGTAATTCTGACAAAGACCTTGTACAGACAGTTTTAAGTAAAAAAGACGACAGAAATCTAATGGAAACTACAATTATCTGAAGGGCGCACACAGCAAGAAAAAAAAAAAAGAGGGAGATTATTTTCAGTGGAAAGATGCAGGATGGGGATTTAGGTAGGGGAAAACTTGTGACAACGGAATCCATGCAGCAATGAAATAGCCTCCCAAAGGTAGAGACAGAATCTCCTTGGACAGCTTGCAGCTTTTGAAGCACAAATTAAGCAACATCTGCACAAATGCACTGCAGAGAAAGACAGCGCATCAACAGGAAGGTGGACAAGACCATGCAACCAGGCTAGTCCATAAACAGTTCACAGATGCACATTTCTGCACAGTCTTCATGGAAATTTCCATACTAACAGCATGTATGAAACGCACACTTTCTGGAGTCTTTGTTAGGAACATTTTGTAAGGAAAAAAAGAACTACAGGAATAAATAGGAATACATGCAAGAAACCCAACAAATACAGGTGATTACTGCAAGAGTTCCAAATATCACTGCTCTCATAAAAAGCACCACAGGGTTTTCTTTTAATTTCTTTAAACTCTGCAAAGATAAAACAACTCAATTATAGCATTTAGTCCTCTCTCCTTCGCATTCTTTCACTATTATTTGCCCTGGCTACTGCTCTTCCACTGAGCATAAATGAAAGCAATGGAATGAAGCCTGCTACTGAAGCAAGTAGAGCAAACTCTCATTGATGTCAACAGAATTAGGCCAGTTTTAAAAGCAGTGACTTTGGCCCTCCAATTGGCAAAATAGGAAACACAATTTGTTCAAATGCAGCCAGATTGCCATTCCCCCTGGGCAGGCAGGCAGGCACACTGTGGACTGAGGCATTCTCCTGCTTTTCTGTGCTGGCTTGGCTGCAGCAGGAGAGCAGCTGCTGTTGGGCTGCTGATTCACCATCTGGTTCCTGGTTTCTCTCCGAACAGCACACGCTGCCAGTTCCTCAAAGCTTGCAGCAAAAATCTCTCCTGTGCCCACAGATTATAAGCTACTTATGATGAGCATCTAAACTACATAATGAACTGAAGAAAAAAGAAAGTCAATTCTCTAATTAAGAATTTACAAGACTGGCGTTAAACCCTGACTTAAACACTGAGCCTTGTTTCTAGACACAAACTCTTTGTTGAAATCTTTCTGTCTCTGAAGACTCATTCATCCCACTAGCTGAGCAATGATTACAAAGGTAACAGTAATCTTCAGTTTGATTACCGTCTGTTCAGACTTTCTGGCATCATCCCCTCCATTTAATTCTATTAATAAAGTCAGCTCCACATGGAGAAACAAATTAAAACAATTGAGTAAATACCTCAAGTAGAAGGGTGACATAGGCCGTTCATCTTCTTGGGAACTAAAAACAAAACAGATTTTTTCTAAGTTAGTGTGCAGTTCTGACTTGCATTTGCAGTTCAGCTATAGTAATACGATCACTCTTAAAAAGCAGAGATAATAAAAGTGAAACAATATGTCTATCACATAGGTAGTATTTATGTCTATTTTGTCCTGAACTTCCATAACTGAAAGTTATGGAAGAGAGCTTTAAATTACATTCCTTAAATCCTGAGAATCCAACTCATTTTTCAACGTTCACAAATGTAGAACAGATCCACTGCTAGACAGTCAGGAGTCTCCAGCTCTGCAGCAGTTCAGAGACTATCCTCATAACAACAATATCACATTTCTGCCAGGAGAACCACGAGGGCCTTTTGCTGTCTGTTGTTCCAGAATTAACAACCCGCCCATAAAAGTGAAAGTGAAGAAAAAACAAATGACATTTTGAGAGACCAGAGAGAAGTAGCTATGTGCACGCAGCTGAGAATTCCATGTCTGAGTTTTATCGTCCTGGCTGAAAGCTGATTTGACTACACTGAAACCCAGCTAAACTACAGAGGCAAAACAACAGAAACACAGGTCTGACAGTGATGAGTCAAGTCTGTACAAAACTGAATGTATCTGAAGGGAAGGACGTTCCTCATGGACTTGAGGAAGCATTTCCCTCCAGGCTTGAGATCAGGGGCTGCATTCGGCTGGCATGGAGCTCCCTTAACAGCTGTTTCAGTGAACCGATCTGGCTGAAAAATAACTATTTTGCATGTGGCCAGGTCATTTTGCCCACAGATCAATTCCCTGGATCCAGTTCACCATGCACTTTGTGCTGGCGTAAGGTTAAGAACAAGTTGTTGTGGTGCCAAAGTTTGAAGTTGTGGTTGAACTGATTGTTTAAGTCAATTTAAAACCCTCTACTAAAAAGGGGTTCCAACATAAACTTCATCTGACCATTCTACTCAAATAAATGGTTGGACATGTAGGGCATTTGGGCCTTGCAATTCTTCAAGAGCAGGGAACTTGCCTTCCTCCAAGCACATAGGAAATGCCAATGAACTCAGTTTGTCTCCAGAGGACTTCAATTGGGCCTGCCAAAGAGTGCAGTAACTTTGGGAGAAAGGCAGAAAGGAGGCGAAGCTGCACGAATTATTTTAAGCAGAAGCAGAAAGGATAACGTTACAGACGCACTGGAAATGAAGCACTTCCCTACTGTTTCCCCACCATTCAAAAGTCTCTACCAGTGCTCAGCGATGCCATTTACCACTGATATTCAGCCTCTGATTTTGTCAAACAGGTCAAGAGGGAATTGACACGATGTGAAGGTACTGATCATTTTTAAGTTTATACAGAGGATGAGAGATTTATCAAGAATACTCTGGGTAAGCCTAAATCTGCTTCAAACTCGAGTCATTTGGGGGCTCTGATTGCCAAGAAAAAATTAACCAACTTCGATGGGGATCTGAACTAGATCAAACTTGAGTAATTTTTGAAAACTCAGCCTGAATCCATTATTCTCTTGAATTTTAAATAATTTATCAGTTTACCACAGCTTTTCTAAATACAGAATAAAGGCAAAAGGAATGCCACTGTGGATTTAGTAGCTAGGAGATCAAATACTCAGACATACATTTTGCAGCTTCCACTGGAGTCAAGAGGAAGCTGTCTAAGCAAGACAAGCTGAAGCTGGCCCAGGGCCAGGAAAGCTCCGTGCTGTTATAGTGAGTACAGCCAGAGGCAGATTTTACTGTGGCTTATTTTGAATCCAGCCAATTTTGAACAAAATTCACAAATATAAACGCCAAATTTATCTATAAACTGGGAGAAAAGGGGGAGGGAAGATGTAGGAAGAAGAAAGGCCGGGAAGGGGTAGACACACAAACAGAACTGGACCAAATGAGCACGTCAGGGAAATCACAAGCGTTATGCCTTGCTACAGTGCACAGAGATGTGTATGGGTGACAACTGACATCCATGTAAAACACTTCCCATTCACTGTGACAGCACATATATTTTGAGGCCCACTGGTAGCCTGAAATTAAGATTCAAGGGTAACACAAAATACCACAGAACGGAAAGGACGAGAAACTGCTTCTGAAATCAGTGCGGTCTGCCAAAACTCGCAACTACTTTGTAATGCAACAGTGACTACGCAGTTTTCAGTAGCTCCCTAAGCAGACCAAGAGTACAACTGCTACTGGAAACTTTGCTGCCACTTCAACACGTCCCTCTTGAGCTGCTTAAGCAAGTTGTCAGGGGCCGCTGCTGCACAAGCAAGGAGGCAGGAGGAAGCAGTGCTGCAGCAGCCCTCCTCCCACGTCGCAGCTGGCTCATGCTGATGGAGCAGTGTGGGAAGAAGCACATAGAGCATGCTTTTGCAAAGCTGGCTAAAAGCTGTTGCCTGCAGCAAGGTATGCAACAGTTGTCTGCATGTAAACTGAGGTGAGTATCTTCCCCTTAGGGTTCCTGTGGGAAGCAGTTACTGCTCTGAGACAGCTTAGAAAAAGTGGAGAGAAGCATGCAAGTGCCCATTATTGCTGCTTTCCAGAAGACACCCTCCAACAAATGCACAGATAAGACCCTTTTCCAAGTACAAGCTCCCCTTAATGCCATACATAGCTTCTTAATTGGTACCTGTAACTTTATTTCTCATTTGCAGAATTCTTTTTTAAAAAAAAGCAATAAAGAAACTACTTTAAACTCACAAAGCTACTGGTAATGCTGTTTGCTATGTTCTGTTCATTATGTAATAGCAGTACTTGTAATTTGAATGTAAATAAGTCCCAATTGCATACAGAAAACGTGAAAAATAAACCTCATGTGGAAAGAAGTCCACAGCGCTGTCAAGATTTCTGTGCATCAATGCAACTTCAATATAAAATGCTCTTCTGTATGTAAGTAATAGCTGCCGAATCTACAGCAGAAATCTTTTCTATAATAAAAAAGAAAAAAAATCCTTATCTCAGGGATTTCAATTAGCTTCCAAGTCACAGAAAATACAATGATGCTGACAAAGCCCAAAAAGCTTTCTTATATGCATGCTCCCACTAGTTGCTTTGACAGATCAGATGGAGTAGTAGCATTCAGTAAGGACACTGAAACCGCTTGTATTTTCTTCCTTTTCTTCTACAGCAAGTATGAACACTGCTATCACTGCTTTACAAGTTGGATTAAGAAAATGTTATATCCGTACCAAAGGCATTATCCACTCATACAAAGTAACTGATGAACAAAAAAATATTTGGGAGCTGGGAGTGGGAGGAACAGAAACTTTAGAGAAAATAAAGTGATACCAAACACTAATTTCATTTAGTTCACCGAGTTTCAAAATTTCATGTGATTGACAGAAGTTGTAGCTTTGCATTCTCTCTCTTATCTGATAGTACTTTATAAATTTACACATGCAGCTGATACATAGCTGATGCATCCGTGACGAAGTGCTCCCAGCTAACTAGCACAAAATCCAATCTTTTGAGAAAACTGTAAAATCTTTTAACTTTAGCAGAACAAAGCAGGTTAACTGAGCAGGTTACTCCATTCTTTCCCAATCATTAACAACAAAGAAGCCCAAACATCTTTCACTAACTACATGTACCTGAGTCAACTCATCTGCGCAGGCTGGAAAACATAAGAGCTGTGTAAATTATGACCAGATTTAAACCAGCTGTTCCACATAATTTAGATTTCCTCAGATGTTAGGCCACTGAGCCCTCCTGCAATCACTTAGCACACCAGGATCCTGTTTTGATTAAAATACTGTATGAAATAATTTAGTATTAATTTTGTAAGGTAATAAACGGTTGTATTCACATCAAAGACACAAGCACAATTTAGTTCACGGAGAGAAATGAAAATTCCATGCAAGGGGTTTTAAACCTGTGTATACCCAATTACATGGTTTGAGATATAGAAGAGACAAGGTAGGAAGGAAAAATGTACAAGATATGAATCATAAAGATCATCAGCTGGTATTACACAAAAAACATAGGCTAGAAATTGGTTTAAAATCTTCCACACAGGACTCTTCTTCACTAACACACTAATGGCACTTATTGAAAAACAACTGCCTGCTGGTTTAAAAAACACCTTGTACTGAAGGGGTTCTTTAGCACTGTTAGGAAGCCTTTCTGCTGTGTATCATGTGTCCTTCCAAAAGAAAATGCTAGAAGTCATTAGAAATGTTTAACATTTAACTGTACTGTTCTTGGGTTGCGTAATTCCTCTTTGGTTAAAGAGATATATGACCTTTATAGAAAGAAAGGAATGCTTAATACTTGGCACAGTGACTTGGCAAAGTTGGTTGTCCACATCGGGGAGGAGACAAGTCACTCTGAAGCTCATTTCCTACACAGTCTAAACTTCTGCCTTGCCTAGCAAAGAATTTACCCATTAGGCAAGCAGGTTTAGTGGTACAATTTTTAAACCTTCAAAGCTTTGTCCCCTTTTACACACACTTTATGGCCAGAAGGCACTCCATATACTTGAGAAGGGATGAAATAATTTAAACAAATCAGGTATTTATTCAGCTACCATTGATGACCTGGCTGGACAGGTGAACGCAAAATACAGCTGTTGCTTTTTTCCTCAAACACACACATAAGTCCCCCAAGCAAAGGGCTTAAGAGAAATGAATGGCTCTTCAATGCAATACCTGGGAGAGCAACTTCTTACACTAAAAATCTGATCATTTCCTTCATGCTAAAAAGCAGAATAAAAAACAAACCAGAAAACTTTTGTTCTCTTCAAACTTATTTTACTGCCAAAGAAACAATATTGTTGCGTTTGTAACCTCCACTCAGCTAACAAAAAAAACTGTCAGACTGGGAAGAATGCCTGTATCACTGTCCCATTAGTTTAGTGCATCTTATTCTCCTGATTTTTAGGCATTTTTAACCGTGTGTATTTTACAGCATGTATGCAAGGCATCCTGTTTGCCTCTAAAAAGGAAATAGGAAAGTGCTTCAAGCTATGAAGAAGTCTAACTGTTAAACAACAAGCTTGCATCACAGAGCCACACAGTAACAGTAT